CAAATAAAGAATCTAAGACAACACAGTAGAATCTGACTGCCTTTGAGAGCAGTAATGGAGATAAGGATATGAACTATATCTCCACACACAAAGGAAGTGCTTCTGGCCAAGGAACCTGTGCCACATGCCCAGCACCAAAGGGAGGGATGTACCTGGACCCAGCAGGAAGGAGTGACTCTGTGTGACAGACACTCAGATTGTCTGTTCAGTCACTGGTCAGATTCATTGAGTGCTAATCCAGGTCCATTGTTCACCTGGAGGGCAGGCCCTGGTTAGAAGATCTCTCAGACCATGGGCTGCAGGAGATGATGGGGATTAGAGAGACATAAGCTGCAGAGATTCCCCGGCAAAGAGAAAGATCAGTTCCACCAGCCCAGGGAGGGTCAGTTCAGAATGGGGTAGGAAGGGACCAGTGCCCAGGGAGAGGTGTAAATTCCAAAAATCCTGCTAAGAAATCCTGTCCTTTAATGTGAACTCAGACAATAAGGTTGGCTTTCCATGTTCAGAGAGTTTCAGAGTACCACATATGTGTTTTGGTGCTAACGTGGTTGATTTTCTGAGAGGCAGCTGCTTTGACTCCATTTCCTAGCATCCCTCACCTCTTGGACCTGGGTATTATGTGAAGAAATTAATCAAGGGAACTCTTTCCTGGCTCCTTTAAAATTGTTTTCCCCTTTGGCTTACTCATTTGTCAATATCATGGTCAAGTTTCATTCTCCTTCCTCTTCTCCTGCTGACTATGTTCTTCACCAGTATGGTATCAATTCAGAGCAATATCTTCAGAAAAAAAGCAAATTGTTCCTAAAAACCATTGTGAATTTCAATGGTCACCATTGGCAACTTGGGAACTTCCAAGACCTCTCTGTTGCCATTATGGAATGAATGTTTGTGCCCCCCAAAATTCATGCTTTGAAATCCTAATCACAAATGTGACAGTATTAGGAGGTGGGGACTTTGGGAGGTCATGAGAATGGAGCCCTCATTATTGGGATTAGTGCTGTTACAGAGACTCCAGACATCTCCCTCCCGCTTTCCTCCACTTGTGCACACAGCAAAAAGATAGCCATCTATGAAGCAAGTATAAGGTCCTCACCAGACACTAAATTTGCTGGTGCCTTGATCTTGGACTTCCCAGGCTCTAGAACCATGAGAAACAAATTTTGCTGTTTAAGCCACTTAGTCCATGATATTCTATTACAGCAGCCTAAATGGGCTAAGAAACTCTTGTTCCTCCTTCTTCACACCTTAGGCCTCCCTATCGTCTCCCTTGGATCCTTTGACCTGTCCCCCTTCAACACTTGCCCCTCTTCTACTCTTCTTTCCCTCTATCCACCCCTCTCAAACCTTTCCCCACCTACTTCTGCCCCTTCAATGCACTATAGTCACTGGGACTTCAGGTCTGCTCCTCCAAAGTGGGCTCTCAAGGGTCTCAGGGACCCCAAGAGCTGCCTGACACCGAAAAACTCATGGGAAACAGGCTGGATGTTTTATCCAGTTGGATGTGCTTTGGAGACAGCCAGATGGCCACTTGATCTCTCCCAGGCCCCCACCTGAAATTTCATCCACAACCCCTATAGGATGACACATCATGGCAAAGGACATCCTGAAGGGGTCTCCTGCTCAAGTATTGGTGGGACACTTCAGGCCTCATACTAAGCAGGTGACCTCAACTTGCCCCATCTGCCAAAAACACAGTCCCAGTAAGAGTGTCCAGATGGAGCAAGGAGAAGCACCCCTCTTTCCTACAAACCAGTGAGTTGAAGTTTTAGAATTGAAGTCATATGCTTTGACTTTGTGTCTGTCTCTATGTTTATGTAGATATGCATGTGAAATATTTTCACACCTTCAAGTCGTGTTACTAATTTAGATTATAAAACCCCTTCAGGGAGGTCTAGTTGAGGGTTCTAGAGAAAAATAATTGAATATTTCTAAAATGCCCATAAATTAAGGAAAGTGAATTTATTCTACCGATGCTTTATTTCCACAGTAATTACATCTTTGTTGTATGTCACCTTGAAGATAATTTGCAATATATTTTGGTAACTTCCAACGTTATCCTATGCTAAATTAAGTTAATTATTGGCTATTAATTAAATACCTAGATCAATCCTAAGTAAGTTAACACACTGAAATATTAGTTACCAGGGATAATTTTCAGTCTATGAATATTTTTGTGTGTATTAGTGAATGTGTTCATCCTGTGACATTGAGAATGTTACTGGAAGGACTTATATGGTTATAACCATATGTGGATGTACATGCATATGGTCCACTGCAAAATGCTGTGCCATAACAGACAGGTCACGATGAGTCACCTCCCAGTTTTCTCTGTGAAGTAGACATTTCTGTGGTTAAGATTATAATGCGTCCATGAATGAAACTCTAGTAGGAGAAAATATGAAAGAGAACAATAGAGTATGAAAGATATGTAGGATGAGATTTTAAGGAAAAAGAGAGTAGTTTGGTCCTAATATGAGATGATGGGTTCTTCCAGAATGAGAAAGAGAAGAGTGTACAACAAAACCTGAACAGATATAGACAACAGCAAAAAGTTTAGAGTGAATTTTCTTTGCCCTGGTCATAGATGGCCCAGATCTAATGGGTTTATGCATAAGAATTGTTTTAAATGGGGCTTTGAGGACCAATATTATATTAATATAAAGCTAGAATTTGTTTTTCTCTCTGTTAAGAGGACAAAATTTCCCTGGATTACTAGTTGCCTCTTACTGAGAGATTTTAAAAAGCTTCCTCTGCCTTATTTTTTATCTCCCTAGGTGAGATTCTGTGTCTTGTCAGAGGGGTTTTCTGTGCTATATATTGACTTTATCACATCCTTGATTTTTGATTTCTCATCCTTGAAAAGGTTAAGTTCTCAGATCATATCCCTTCCAAAGTTCAATTTTAAAATCTTTTGAATGTTTTCCATGACACTTAGTCAACAACATTTCTCTGTAAGTTGAATTATTTTAGTAACGAACCCACATCAGGTTTTTGACTTTTTTTTCCTCCCCAAACCCCAGTACATAGTTGTATATCCTAGTTGTAGGTCATTCTAGTTCTTCTGTGTGGGACACTGCCTCAGCATGGCCTGATGAGTGGTGTGCACGTCCATGCCCCGCATCCAAACTGGCAAACTCCAGGCTACCAAAGCAGAAACATGAACCTAACCACTCGGCCATGGGGCTGGCCCAGGTTTTTCACTTTTGAAAATTTTAAGTAAGTTAATCACAGCCATTTTAATTGTCTTGACAGGTTTTTTTGGGTTTTTTGTTTGTTTGTTTGTTTTGTTTTCACATTGTCTTTCTCCGAGAGCCAGAGTGCCCCTCTGCCACCAGAGAGGACTGTCTCAGAGACCTGTGAACAAGGGCTTTTCTAGGTCCTCATGGGCAAAGGCTTCTGATGACATCCCCTCCATGACTTCGAGATCCTCCCAGAGGAGCAGTTCAGCATTTCAGATGTGGGAATGAGATTACTCACTCAAGATGGAGTGGAACCAGAATGAATTCTATAGCAATGAATGAACTGGTGAAGGATGACTATGGGCTGTGTTTGGAGTATTGCTTCTACTCGAATGTTCTATTTTCTGGAGAGAAGGAAGCCCTTTCTCTTTTCTCTTAAGCAATCTATAACTTATTAAAAGTATACAGTCTTATCTAGACACTCAAAATTTGTGAAGCCAATCATGCCAGATCAGAACATTTTCATTTATTTTTCTGCCAGTGACTAAATGTGGATAATTGTTGATAAATTTAAACAAACAGGGTAGGTTGGTACCCATTTATCTTATTTTCAATCCACTGGTCCAAGTTGACACAGGTAAAAAAAAAAAAAACTTAATCCCAATGAAATCCAAGCATTCCTTATATCAGTAAGGCAACAGGACAGATCGTCTGCTTTTTTTAGTAAACAAACATTTATAGATATAGACAAACAAACAGAGTGAAGAGAAAGCTGGATTCCACAGTGAAACGCCAACTATAAGTATAGAAGAAATGACATAATAGAGAATCACCACTGACAAACATCATGGCAGTAACTGCTTTAGGTGAGAATGTCAATGGATGTTGCTCCAGTGGGTGAAAGTCTGAGGAGGGACAGGAAGTTCACATAGCACAGTCTCTAAACATCTCCTCCAAAATACATGTTAATGCTTAATACTTCTCAAGTACTAAGTACAGAAGACATTAATTACGTTTATGGTGCAGAGACCTGGTAGATACCAATTCAACGAAATGATAATGGGATAAATAAATTTTATGCTCTCTTGGTATAATAGGGAACAGAGCATCAATTCTGAGGCATTTCCACCAAAAATACATAAACTGATTCTATTCATGAGGAAATAATAGACAAACTCAAAGTGAGTAGTGTTCAGCAAAAACTTGTCTGGGAGCTCTTCAAAAACATCAATGCCATGAAACAAAAGCAGACTGAGATCCAAGACCTGACAACTCAGTACAGCATGCCAGGCTGGACCTGGTCCTGAAACAGGAAGGAAAGGGAAAAGGAATTTGTTTTAGGTTTTTTTAGTTTTGTTTCATTTTTGATTTAAAAATATTATTTGAGGGGCTGACTCAGTGGCACAGCGGTTAAGTTCACATGTTCTGCTTTGAGGGCCTGGTGTTCGCAGGTTCGGATCCCGGGTGTGGACCTGCGCACGACTTGTCAAGCCATGCTGTGGCAGGCATCCCACATATAAAGTAGTGGAAGATGGGCATGAATGTTAGCTCACGGACAGTCTGCCTCAGTAAAGAGAGGACGATTGGCAGCAGATGTTAGCTCAGGGCTAATCTTCCACAAAAAAGAGAAAAAGAAAAAGAAAAAGAAATAAAAATATATTACTTGAAAAAATGGCAAAATTTGAAGAGAGTCCTTAGATTAAATGGTAATATTATGTCATTGTCCATTTCCTGTTATTGAGGGGTTTATTGTGGTTATGCAGAAGAATGTCCTAGTAATTAGAAAATGCACACTGAAGAATTTAAACCAAAGAGACAACATCAGTACACACAAAACATTATTTTAATCCAACTGAACACAATCAGCATACTTTTCTCCTGAAGATTTTAAAGCAACAGGCACAGACCCCTTTCTTTTAAACCAAAAGCAGCTGAGAAATATAATTTTCCCAAAATTCTTTATCCAGAAGGAAATGATCAATACATTTTGTTTCAGGTCCCTCCTCTATTATCAGTGCTCAAGAACTTTATCTAGGAGGCATAGGTGTTGATGATAGGTGACTTATGAATGGGCTTAAATTTGCGAGAGCCATGGCCTTCAAGGATGTGGCCATGGATGTGGATCCTGAAACCCTCTCAGAAAAACTTATATAAAGACATCATGCTGGAGAACCACGAGAACTTTCTGTCAGTAGCTCAGTATAATGTTGCAAATTCTGTGGTGGGTCTTTCTCTCCTCAGGTGTCAGATGCTATGGGTTCCTGAAAGCGCCAGAAAGGTCATAAAGGCTCAAGCTCATAAAATTGGATCTAAAATTCAGGGACCAGAGTGTCTGAAACCCTACAACATAGAGAAAGAAAGAGACATTCTTTTTCACACTTGGGTAAAAGACTTTGGATTTTAAAGTTATAAAGGCTTATGGCTTTCCCAATTCTCTGGGATTAACCCTTTAAAGCAGATATTATGTTCCAATTAGAGCCAGAACAGGTTTGCAAGATGAAGAAAGTATCTTCCCAAGATGCATGTTTAGATGAAATACCTCATTAATAAATTTATATTGATTAAATATCAAAAGTATATCATTTGGGATAAAATAAAAGATAACTAAATTAAATTAAATTAAGTTCATCTGTTTATTCTTACTTTTTAAGTGTAGTGTATTAGTTTGCTATGGCTGCCATGACAAAGTCCCACAAACCAAGTGACTTAGAACAAAAGGAAATTTTTTATCTTACAGTCCTGGATACTGAAGTCTGAGATCAAGCTGTCAACAGGGTTGGTTCCTTCTGAGGGCTGTGAGGAAACATCTGTCACTATCAGAAAACAAATCAAACAGCAAATACAAAAACCCTTCAGTGACTTCCTACCACACTCAGACTACGGCACAAACTCCTTCCTGTGGCCCCAAAGGCCCTGCATGACCTGCCCCCATGCTTCATGCACACCGGCCATTTCTGGTTTTGAGGGGATGCTGGTGTGGGTGTGGGTGAATAGGGAGGGTGGGTCTCCAGGTCCTTTCATTCACTGGACTAGATCCAAATTTCCATTAATCTTTTTGCAAGATCATGAAGACTAAAATCTTCTGAGTACCTTTTCCAGGAAGACTCCCTTTGGTGTAGCTATTTATACATGCCAGTCTTGCCATCATCATTTGCAGTGCTTGTTCCAACAGCTTTCAGGGCTGGGTCCTAACTTTAGTCCAAAATGCAGGTGAGTTGTTGATCTGGCTGCCCAAACAGTGATGGAGTCTGTGATACATGCTGGTCTGAAGTGCCCAGTGTGGGAGAATGGGGAAGAGTAACTTCCCAATTATTGTTTTCTGCTATTTTTTGAGAGAGGTTTAGAGCCACAGGTAATATTTTTATCTCTAAGACTCCTGGTACTCCTACATAACTGATTATATAATTTCTTGAGTATTTTGGTTTAGTTTTATAGATTAGGATAAGGAGACACCATTTGCAAATCTCTGTAACCTACAATATGGCAGCAATCTCTTATGGAATCTCACAAATTACACTATTTAGGGAAATGTTTCTCATATTCTCAGATTTCTTGGGGATTATCTGGGGAGCTTTTTGAAAATCCCTGGACTCAATGTGCTTATGGGCGAGCCTGAGATAAATGGGGCTGGGGTGGGATTTCGTCTCCTTCTAGTGAGAAGAGCTGCAATGTGTAGGTAAAGGGCATGAATGTGTCATTCTAACATCAGGAAACAGGAAGATTAAGAGTGATCCAATCTGCAACATGAGCCCTCATTTATTAGACGTAGAAGTCCTAACCATGAATCTTTTCATTTAAAATAAATACTTGTGACATGACAATCAAATTCTCTCACCTTGAGATTTCACATTGTGTAGGGGCCCATCATACACACACACCTCAGGGAACCTACAGGATCTCAGACAGCACCAGGCAGCATCAGGAGCAGAGCAAGGAGTGCAAATGACCCACAGGATGTCCCTGGGGCGTTCAGCTCAGAGGCTGTCCTGAAGGTTGACAGGAGACTGGGGGTGAAGGCTGGGGCCTCAGATGGGTAGAAGGTCTGTGGAGTGGAGAAAGGACATCAGGGAGATGAGTACTAATGTCCAGGGAGGGCGGCTCACTATTCCCAACAGAGAACACATCTCTCTGAAGGAGCTGTGCATAAAGAGGGTCCCGGCCCAGGCTGCCAGTGCCTCAGCCCCAAGGCCAACTCTGCTCTAGGGTGGGATATTTTCAGTCTGTGACCAAAATGGGTGGGATTGAAGTTGAGGATGACATCAAGGGATTCCTATAATTCCAGACACAAAAGCCTGTCCTAAGAAATAAGAAAATATCCATGCATTCTCTATTAAGTTCCAGGGCCCGCACTGCCCACATATAAATTAGCAGGAAGCTCAGTCATTTCCTCAGTTCCTCCCTGACACATCCACTTGCGGACACACAGGGTGGCTCACATTTGTCCCTGCCTCTCTCCTTTGTTCACCTGCTGCCACAGCCTGGCAGATGATTGATAATCACGGTGATAGAGCCCGAGAGCCAGGTCCCATAGCTGACCAGGGAGGCAGGATATGGCCTCCAGACTGCTGGGGAGAGGGGGCCATAACCATTCTGAAGATCTGGGTGTACTGAGAAATTTGGGCACTCAAACAGAGCTACTCAAGTGTGATGGGAACAGAGAGTTGATGTAGGACTGGCTCAGGGAACAGAACAGAGGGGCCTCAGCCAGAAGCACTGAACTGGGAAGTTCTTTAATCTTTGCAGGGAAAAGGCTGGATTTCCAGAGGAAATGACTCAGCTTCAGCAGCTGTAATGGCTGGGCACTCCTGTCTGTCCACCATCTATCCCTCCTCCCTGCAGGAGTAACAGCCTCTCCTCACTTCCACCTGCCCAAAAGCACCTGTGCCCCTTTATTGTCCAACCCTACATGAGGGAACTCTGGGGTCCGTTTCCTTCACTGCAGGGAGAGGAGGCCAATTTACCCACAGACAGCCCAGCAATGGTGCCCTGAGAGTTGGAGTTGGACAGGGCCTCACACTTCCAGTGTCCTGGGTCCTGATTTGGAGTTGATGGTGAAGCCGAGACACCACCTGCTCCCTCAGGCCCTGAAAGAAGCTGTGCCACAGTGAATGACATTGTGGGGGACTGGAATTGGCCACCCCAAGATACGTCTCTTTGGCATGAGGATTACTTTTGGCTGATTACTTTTAAAAACTGCAGACAGGAAAGAAGCTCTGAAAAGTAGAATTTACTTATGCTTTGTTAAGAGACATTTACATTGTAAAGGAAATCTCCATCTGTAAAGGTGTCTACCTCTCTGTACCAGGAAGGAGGGATGACCTTATCTCTAGAAACTCTTATCAATGTGGAAGGCAAGGACTCAAGTCTGCATAATAACCTAACTCTTGTTTACTGTACTTGTATGGTAATCTCCCCTGATCGACTCCTCCCACCCTCATATCCTCCTTTGTCTTTAGCTGAAGGTGATATTTAAAGTGGTGGCTTCAGCCACTTTGGCGAGTTGCTCAGGTTGCCTGAGCCTCCCCCATGTAAACATGTTATAAAGCTTTGTTTAACTTTCTCCTGTTATTCTGTCTCATGTGAATTTAATTTGTTCTCCGGCCAGAAGTACCCACAGCAGTTAGAGGAAATGTCTTCCTCCCCTACAAGATTTCTTCTGATTCTTCCCAGTAGAAAGACTCTTGAAATACCTGGGAGGACCAGTATCCTACTGTGGAAGGCCCAGTCTGGAATATTCCACAGCAGCCTTGCCAAGGCCTGTGTGCACAAATCCTAAGTGATACAGCCTTCATAGCCACAAGTTCATGGCTGTTGCCCCCAGTGCCCACACCTGGGCATGGGTATCTGGGCCCTGAGAGTCCAGCCTTCACTGCCAAGTGTGCTTAGAATCATCCATCTCTCCAGTGTCTAGGGCCCTGGGGTTGGTTCCAAGTCACCAGTCCATGCTGCCGCAATCTCCAATGGGAAGGTCTTCCCTGGGGCTCCTGATGTCTGTCCCAGGGGCTTCACCCAGAGCAAATCTAAGAAGTATTTGAAGGCTGGGAGCTGTGGCAGTAAAAAACATTTGTGTTTGTCTCAGGTGATGGAAAATGTCCGTAGGAGCTCAAGGAGGTGCACGAGTGCCCTGTAGTGGACTGTACCTGCTGGAAGAAGAGCAAAAAGGGGCCAGGGGAGCTAAGAGATTAGGGCTGAACTTGGACAAAGGGCACATTCAGATTCAAAAGGAGGCATATTTAGGGGTGATTAACTTATGGCTGCCTGTAGTTCACCATCTGGAAGACTGGGGTTTTTTCAAAGGGTGTAACCACAAGTCAGAATGACACACTGGGTTGTACTGCAAAGTCAGATGAGGGAGATACTATAGGCATTGAAATGAAAAACTACGTGATGATAAATCTATATGCCATGTCGTTAGACAGTCTAGTCTGATGCTCTTACTATCTTAAGAAATGGCTTAGCAATGAATGTAAAGTCATGTCTATCACTATTAAGAATAAAATTATATCATAGAAGTTTTCTCTTTCTTCAGAACCACATACTTTGGCATCATTCCTTAAGAATGATTTTACACTCAAAAAGTGGATTTTGTCAGAGACTGGCCAATGTCAGGGCCTCAATACCAGCTCCGTGGACTGACAGCACCCTGCCACACAACCCAGGATCCACTCTAAATAAGCGCTTTGGAGGATCTCTCATTGTGTGTGAATGTGGGGTCCTTTTTAGTGTTCTTGCCATTCACCCATCTGCTCTCACTCTAGGCAGAATCTATTGTCCACTCTTGGATTTGATACTTAAATTACTGACCTCTATTTCTGTCCTTCTTCCATCCCTCCATCCCAACATTGTGATAGGTCCAAGAGGTGCCTTTTACTCTTCATTTTGAGTGAAGAGTTCTCAAAAACACTTCCCTTCACCTACCTTGAACAGACCTCCACTTGACTGCCATCATCATCACCCAGAAGCATTGGGACACTTTTTTGGTTGTCAGATGCCTTCCAACTACTTGGGGGAAATGTGACTCTCTCCACAGAGATGACCAATAGAAATGGACAAAAATAAATCATGCTAAAACATGAAACATGGTCAGCTTTCGCCATTTCCTTAAGTGATAAACTACAAAATCTGACATTAATACTGAGCTAGAGAATGAAACATGCATCACAGTTAGTGATAAAACTAAAACAGTTATTTATGTTTCCTTAAAAGAGCATCCAGTGCATTAGGTTCATTTTCACAATGATGTAAGAGTGTCCTTCTGTCAACAGGCTATCTACAATTTTGTGACCTGGTGGAAATGACTCCACTTTTTCCCTTTAAATGTCAAATACAAAACTAGAGGTTGCTCCTGGGCCCTCTCCCAGATCCTACGACCTGCAACCAGCAGCAGGACAAGCTAATGCCAGAGCTCCCCTGATCCTCAAGACAGCAGAGGTGGCTTGGGCTGTCCTTGTATCCTGATATCCCCACGTCCCCAGGGAAATGCTAAGCAGGTGCAAGGCCCATGGCCAGATAGTCCCAAGCTCTCATTGTGGCTCCATCTGAACCATCACCAGAACCCTGTGTTCTTTGCCTCCAGCTGCTTCCGGGGACATGAGGAAATTCCAGAAGCCAAACACCTGCTGGAAAGCACTGACTCAATGCTCATCTCTCATGAGCAGTTCCTGGGTGTACCTGGACCCTGCAACTACCCTCCAAGATGTCACCAGACAGACCCACCAGTCCCCACAGGTGGTGGGCCCCAAGGCTTGCAGGTACTTCCCCACAAGACACTTTGATCTCATCACCTGGCCCTTCTCTCAGATGCCAGGAGCATCACATGGGTGGAGGGTTTGGTTGGCTTGGCACCCAAGAATATCCAGATTCCTGTGCCAGGGAGGCGGTGCTGAGGCCTCAGGCAGAGCTAGGATGAGAGACAGAGGTTTGATGAGGAACCTGCAGTGAGAGCCAGAGGCAGAGGCAGAGGCAGGGTACAGGCCACCACAAATAATCTCTGATGATAGATAGGCACATTGGGTCCCTTTTTTGGGCCCATGGGGGACTCTGAACAGAAGCCTCCATTCCAGCCACAATGTCTGTGAGGTTGAGACCTGAGCCAGGCCAGATACCTAGCCATCCCTGTCTGTATGCAGTAACAGATGCTTAACAAACACTGTTAAATAGATGAGGGAAACCACATGAGCAGCTTGTTACCCCCATGTGACACTTGCGGGTCTGAGCATGTCCCATGTAGACACAGGGGCATTGGCATCAACATGAGAGGAGGCAAGCAAGCACACACAGCTGTCTCAGAGACGGGACTTTGCCCCTTGTAGAGTCAGGAGGGTGACCGGGAACTCCTAACAGAGAGGCATCATTCCCCATTCAGCCCAGAAATTCACAACTCCTCCCCATCTCTACTTTTTGAATGAATTCTCTTCTCCCCAGAGGCCCTCAGCCAGCAGCCTGTGTCCTTCTTCTCCTAACAGAGACCTGACTTGACACAAACTCTGGATACTCTGTTCAGCTAAAGTTACCACCAGAGGAAGATGGAGCCCTACTCTGATCACAAAGGAAGTTAGGGGGTGACTCCCTGTCCCCAAGGCCCATGGTCTGTGGGGACACCTGGTTGTAGTTCCCTGAAGACATCTCACTAGCCCATAGAGGCAGGTAAAACAAGGGAGAATTTCCCATCCAGGATGGGACAGGAGAACCTGGATCGGTGTTTGCTTCCACCTCTGAGGGGATAAGGGTCACACAGGGGCCTCTCCTCCCTAACAGAGAAACCCATTGGCTCCCCTGGTTGAGTCTCTATGTGGAGCTGCTCCATGTTCTGGGACTTGTGGGAACTAGAGCAGATGACAACAGGGACACAGATAACTCAGATGCAACATCCCAGTGCTGTGATGGGAGAAACACAGGCCATTCTGGGGACTAGCCCTTCAGGCCTTGAGATATCCTAGGGTGCATTGAAACCTCAAGAGATGACTCACCAGGTCTTTCTTTTGAACCTTGGGGGCAGAGAGCTCTTCCTAAGGCAGCACATTCACCAGGCAGCACAAGACACTGGATCAGTAATCCACTGGACAATGTCTGTCCTCTCGCTGGGTTCACCCTGCCCTGGGATGGAGCTGGGAAGCCTGGGACCCACAGTGACAGGACCCTGGCAGACAGGTCTCTCAGCCTGGAGGTCAGAGCCCACCTCTGTTCAGGGCTCAGGGCCAGTTCACACCCTCTGAAGCCTGATCAGTATCCCTGGTACACCCCTGACATTGGCTGCAGGTCTCCTCATGCCCTTTGGGGAGTGACATTGGGACACACAGACAACTGGCAGGGAATTAACTCATGAATATGGCTTTAGCTAAGGAGGTAGAGAAGGAGCCTGATTTCCATCCCTCTGTCCAACAGGTCCTTCTGGTCTTGTCCTAACTGGTCCCTGCCTGGTCTCTCCCACATTCCCCTTCTAAGTGCCACAGAGCACTCTGCTCTGTCAGAGGGCCCTGTGCAGCTCTCCACTCCCTGCCTGGCACCACCCATGGGGAAGGCAGGGTGACCACAAGAAAGTCAGCCAGGCAGACGACAGGGGGGCCCAAAATAGTCAGGGGGCACATGGACAGGCTCTGAGCCACAGCTCAGCCAACAGACATGGAGAGGGATGGTCTCCCGAAACCTTTCCCCAAGGACCAGGGAGCCCACCGCCACCTGACCTACCACCACAACTGTCCTTTCACCCAGGACGTGCAGGAAACCTACCCCTTCACACCCAGGAACTTCAGCTCTTTCTTAGACACCCATACTGGGTCTCTGTCCCTAGAAGCAGAGTCCAGGCTGTTGACACCGGAGATGAAGGGCAGGTCCCCTCAGCGATCATCACTCAGCTTGCCCCTTTTTTACCCCAAGAGTCATCTCTGTGACCTTCCTGGTGGGAATAAGTCCAACCTTCCCAGAGCACTTGAGGACACTGGGAAGACTCTGGTACCCAGATGGGTTTCTGGGTCACAAACACAAATAATCCTCCAGGTTTGAGGACTCCTGGGTCTCTGTTTGGTGCTGACAGACCCCAAGGCCAGGACACAGCAGAGACCAATGCTGGGGTGGGTGGTTCATCCTCCTAGGGGACAGGGTTCTCCCTCAGCCTTGCCATTGAAAGTGTACTCTGCAGGCCAGTGTGATCAGCATCATCTGAGAGCTTGTTAGATGCACACTCTCAAGTCCACCCCTCCCCTGCCAGGTCAGAATCTGCATTTTAGCAGGATCTGCAGACCCTCCTTGTGCACAAGAAAAGGGGAGAAGCTGCTCCACCCCTCACATCATGGAGTCTCAGCCTGCCAGGCATCCACGTTATCAGGGAAGCTACTAAATTAGCCTTTCTAAAGTGTCGCTTGGACATTCACCATCTTTATCAACTTACACAGGTGATTCTGATTCACCTCATGTAGCCCCTGGGCTCCTGCTCTGAAGGTAAAAGCCTGACAGGGATTAGAGTAGGGAGGGTGACTGTGCACTGGGACCCTGTGGGGACTGCCCAGGACAAGACTCCCTAGGCTTCTGCTTGTCCAAACAAGGGTGTGTGCGTGTGTGTGTGTGTAAATGGATGAGAATCACTGCTAAAGAAGGCAGAGGATTCAGCAGTTACCAGGCAACAGAAATGTAGTTAGAAGAGAAAGAGAAAGAAGGGGATGAGGGAGGCGGGGATGAGGGGACAGAAAGGGAGGATCCTTGGCAGAGGCCCCGCCCCTAACCCATGTGACTTGGTAGGACTTCTGCCCAGGGAGAAGGCTCAGTGCAGGGGAAGGAAGGACAGCAGAGTTGACCTGTTTGGACAACAGTGCTTGTGAGCATTTCTGGAGTCAAACTTCTTCTCACAGAGGAAGTGACAGAGCAGGCAGCAGACACCATGGAGACTCCTTCAGCCTCTGTCCACAGAGGTCATGTCCCCTGTCAAGGACTCCTGCTGGCAGGTGAGAGGGGATGATACCCTGAGAGTGGGTGGGAGATGGGAGAACAGAGACTGGTTGGGGTCTCCTGGGGAGGACAGGGCTCTGAGAGGGGACAGAGGACCTCTGTTTGGACCTGAGGAGGGAGGACATGGAAGCAGAGTAGGATGAGGGGGAGAGGGCTCAGAAACAGGAAATTCTCAGTGAATTGGAATTGGTGAGGCACAGCAAAACCTCTGTTACTGTTTATTTCCCAACTTATTCATCAATAAGTTTTGAATTTTAAAAACTGATGAAAATAATAATTTATGTGAGGAGACGCAAAAACAACAATAAAAAACATAATCAGGAGTGCTACACATTGTCCTTGCCTACCACCTTCAGATATTGACAAATAAATACTAGGAAGTGGAGGGCTCTGGGAAAACTCATTCATTCATCCAAAGGTTTTTGCAGCCTCTTCCAGGCACTGAGGGAACAACAAGATCAGAGGCCCTCAGGAGCTCACATTCCTTGGGTAGGAGGACAGATAAGCAAAGAGATCTAGAATGTGATGTTAGGATATGACCAGTGTCATGAAGGGAACAGACCAGGGAAAGGTCATAAAGTGAAGACGGAAGTCTTTAGAGCAGTTTGTCAGGGAAGGCATCTCCCAAGGATGCTCCTGAGAGGGATAAGGGCTCAAGGGCAGTGAGGGAGTGAGCCAAGCAGACACCTGGGGAGAGTATTAGGAAGAGAGGTAATACCAAGTTCAAAGGGGCTGCAGTAATGGCAGTCAGGCTGCTCACCTTGACCAGCAAGAGACACATACACGTGAACGTGCACCAAGTCTAAGAGATGAAGACACCTGCTTGGGACCCAGGGACTCATCTTTCCATCACAATACGTAGGTGGTCAAAACAAATAATCAATAACCAATCTGCAGATTAGAGAGATATTTAACAAGCCTATGTGAGGACTAACCTGAAGGTGTTCGATTCCCCAGGGAAGAAAGCACTCCAGAGAACCATGGTTTACAGCATGGTTATATACCATTTCAGAACAAAGAACATGTATCAAGTATGACAGGAGAACATTATTTTTAAGTCACAAGGAGATGTTTAGCACGTACGCAGCAGGTCAACATGTCCTTGGTTCTCTTGGAAGAAAGATTATCATCAAAGAGGTACTGGTATCGGAGTCATAAAAGGGAGACACTCATCACTGTCTTTACAGAGTGCATTCTTTGCTTTGGAAAATGTTTGAAGCAGATGTGCAATGCGTGGGCAGAGGGTCATAAGTCAGGCTGCTCTGGGAAAAACAAGTTTTACTCAGAATCAGATTTAAACCAGAATAGCTTCCCCATATACCTCAATATGTGAAAACTTATTATTATTATTAATTTCAACAAGGTCTAAACATTGATTGATCTCTCTCTCTTCCCTCCTAGTCTTACTCTCAACCATCTGGAACCCACCCACCACTGCTGGATTCAACATTGAATCAGTGCCATCCAAAGCTGTTGTAGGGACCGATGTTATTCTCCTTGTCACCAATCTGCCTCAAAATCTTTCTGCCTATATGTGGTATAAAGGTGACAGAGTAGAACCCAAACTTCACATTCTATCATATGCAATACATACATCAAAAATTACTTCAGGGCCTGGATACAATGGTCGACAGAAAATATACGCTGATGGATCCTTGCTGTTCCAGAATGCCACCCAGGAGGACACAGGATATTACACCCTAGAAGTTGTAAAAAGAAATTTCCTAATTGATATGGGACTTGGACAGCTCCACATATACAGTGAGTGATTCTTCTCTGACCTCTGGGTGTTGGGATGGGTGAATTCTACTTCACACACACAAGATTGACAGGCCTGGCCTGTGCGTACATTCCCCTCTGCATTATGTCCCCTGTGTGGATTTCAGCATTTAGTGCAGGATATACACAGTGGAGACAAACATTAAAATAGTGGATTTCCTTTCCTAGAATCCAGACCCTGCAGCTATTCCCTGCAGAGAGAACAAACAGATGATGAGAGTAACTCAGTCGAAGGAGATCAATCTCAGTCTGGCCCCGTGGGACAATCCCTGGGATCATGGCCCTGAGAAAGACCCTGCAGGGCTCTGTCAGGGCCCTGCTGAGAGGCTTCCTGGGATTCTCACAGAGAAGCCCAGCTCAGGAAGACCTTGCCCAGACACCTGTCCCAGGGCTCCTAACTCCAATGACCGTGGGGAGCCTGTGCCAGGGTTGGGTTTTGGCTTCATGGGCAAAGCTGACTGGGAGAAATGATTTCCTGGCTGCCTGAGTCCCAAGGCTTCTGAGCTGGTCACCAGCCAGGGCTGAGCCCTAAGAGCCACATCCGGGCAGGGGCAGAGCCTGATCCTTCACCTGAAACTCAGCATGGAGAGCACAGATGGACAAGGTCCCTAGGCCATTAGCTGACATCCCTGGAGGACTTAAGACACTCCAGAGTAAGGTCAATGCCCCCAGCAGAGGACCAGAGGAGAGAAGATGCTGCTGGCAGCTCTTCATCCATCAGGGATCAGGCCCAGGGGAATTATCTCTTGTAATCAAACAATAACATATGCCATTCATAGGGGAAGCTCCTCTCTGGCAAGATTTAAGTCAGGGATTATGAATATTTAGAGGTCATTCACTGACAACCTGTCGGTCAAATATTTATCCTACTTCATTGAGGAGAAATGAGGCAAAGGGAGATAAAGTCACTGAACCAAGGTAAAATAGATCATGAGCAGCAGACAGGAGGACTGTCTGCAGCCACTGTCCCATACTCTGCTTCAACAGGGGCCGTGTTAGGTGTTTGTGGACCCCAAGACCAACTGTCATTCCATATCCTTTCTTCTTAGCTGTCCCCAGCTCAGAGGGAGAGAGTCTGGTCTGGGGAGTGAGAGCAAATGGAGAATTCAGGCAAGTTTACTCTAGAACTAAATTACCTGCATCAACCATCAGAGTCAGTGCAGGAATGTCTAGGCTGCCCTCTCAGGTGGCTGACCCAACCTCCCTGCACTGGAATTGAAATCAGTTACTTTCTTGATGTGTTGGTGTCACTCCCACTGGAGAATAAGGGAAAGACATTGACATCTCACTCCGCACTGTTCACCTGCAGCCAGCACCTGGCCCATGTGTAACAAACTCTCATTTGCTTCAGATGGAGGAAGGAATGAATGGTGAATAAATGAATGAATGAATAAATGAATGATGCAAAATCTCTTCAGAGACTGGAACCTGGATGCAGAGTCCTGGAACTTCTGGCCACACAGGACAGGTTGCCTTACCCACCAGGGGCTGAGACCCATGGTCAAGTCTTTTACTGCTCTCTAGAGAAATAGGCCTTCCTGAAATTGGTCTGAGAGCCTGGAGTATTAATCATAACTTCCCATATGGAAGAATTTTAACTTCTCATCAAATTCCTATCACATAATCACCAAACACAAATGGTCTATGAGGGCCATATTTGCAGCAAGTTCAAGCTCCCCACTTTCCATCAGTCACTCTTTTGCATTTTCATATGTCCACACCTGCCCTCAGCAGAGACAGAAAAGACCTTAAAGACCAAGGACAGAGATCAGGTTCTGCTGCCAAAGCCAGGAAGCTCCTTCCTGTCCCCTCACTCTTTTCTGGATAATTCCTTGGACTCTATCATTTCTTGGGTCACTGGCTCATGTCAATTACAGTCACCTAGATCAGATCCACATCTTTTCCCTGATCCCTGAGTACCCACCTGACTGCCATGCTTGCTTGCTCCTGGTCCTCATGTGTTATTTGTACTAAAACTCCAAATCCATCATTACCCATCTCTAGGAGAACCTTGAAAATGGTGCCTCAGAGAACACACAGCTTACTGGGTGGTGGAGGTGTGCGCAGTGAGACAGAATGGCCACGCAGTCAGATGGACACTGAAGTACAAGGAAACGCGTGGAGGGTTGGTTGGGGTGTTATGGTGGTCTCTGATTCTCCTCCTCCATCTTTTCTAAACTCTGCTAACATATTGACACTTGAGAAAGTCCATGCTTTCTCCCAAACATAGAGCATGCAGACTTACACTCTCTGAGTGCTCTGATCTTCATGCATTTGTCTTCATATACACAAACCTACTTTACTCTTTTATGGATTTGGGTTGGCTGAGATGTAAGAGATGCCAACTTTGATTGAAGATTCCTAGGAGGATTCGAGGTATCATACAGGGTAATGGTCTCTCTGTTAATCTGCACAGCAGATTTACCCAGACTTGTCATCACAAGCAACAACCCCAACCCCGTGGAGCACAAGGACCTGAAGTGTTAATGAGAACTTGAGACTCAGAACACCACCTACATGTGGTCAATCAACAGTCAGATCCTGGAAGTAATAGGTCTTATGGTATTCTGTATAAAAGTTTTTGAATAATTGCCATACCAATTTCCACAGTAGCTGTGTCATTTTACCTCCCTGCCAACAATGCACAAGGGTTGCAATTTTTCCATATCTTCCCCAGAACTTGTTTTTTGTTTTTTTGATAGTAGCCATTCTAACAGATATGAGGGGTTATCTGACTACAGTTTTTATTTGTATTTCCCTTATGATTAGTAATGTTGAGCATTTTTTCATGTGCTTATTGGCCATTTGTATTTCTTCTTTGGAAAAATGTTTATTCAAGTACTTTGCCTATTTTTCGTTCAGGTTATTTGGTTTGTTGTTGAGTTTAGGAGTTCTTTGTATATTCTGGATATTGACCCTTTATTGATATATAATTTACAAATTATTTTCCCCCATTTCACAGGTCACATTTCAGTCTTTTGATTGTATCTTTTAATGAACTGAAATTTTTCTATTTTGACAAAGTCCAAGTTACCTATTTTTTCTTTTTTTTTGCCTATTTTATTTATCATAATCAAGAAATCATTGTCAAGTCCAATCTCAAAGCTTTCCCCCTACATTTTCTTCTAAGAGTTTTAGGTCTTACTTCAGGATTTGATCCATTTGGAGTTAATTTTTGTGTATGGTGGAAGGCAATGATTCAGCTTTATTCTTCTGCGTGTGGATATCCAGTTTTCTAAGAACATTAGTGTCCTTTCTCCATTGAATGATCTTGGCTCCCTTGTCAAAATCATCTGATCATATAATCAAGGCTTTATTTCTGGATCTCTATTGTATTCCATGATCTAGGTTTGTCTTTATGTCAGTGCCACACTGTTTTACTTCTTTAGTCCTGTGGTTAGTTTTGAAACCAGAAAGTGAGAGTCTTCCAATTTTGTTCTCCTTCTAAAGACTGTTTTAACTATTCAGGGTCTCTTGAATTTTAGCTTAGGTTTTTCTATTTCTGCAAAAATTTCATTGGGATTTTGATAGGGATTAGATAAAATATGTAGATAGTTAGGAGTATTTTGGCATCTTAACAACACTGATTCTTCCCATCCATGAACATGGATATCTTTCCATTATTTGTGTGTTCTGTAAGTTCCTTCAGAATATTTGGTGGTTTTCACTGTACACATGTTTCACCTCCCTGGTTAAGTTTATTCCTCACTATTTTATCTTTTTGATGCTATTGTAAATAGAAGTGTCTTAGTTTTTTTTTTGGATTATTCATTTTTATTCTTTAAAAATGTAAGTGATTTTGAGTGTTCATTTGTCTCCTGTAATTTTACTGAATTACTTTATTAGTTCTAACAATTTTTGTGTGGGGGGTAAAATCTTTAGGGTTTTCAACATATAAGAGTATGCCTTCTGCTAAAAGAGATCATTTTTTTCTTTCTTTCCAATTTGGATGCCTTTTATTTCTTCTTCTTGCCTCATTTTTCTGGCTAAGACCCATCTACTATGTAGAACAGACGTACTGAAAACAGCATCCTTTCTTATTCATGATCTTAGAGAAAAGTTTTCTGTGTTTCACCGAGTTTGATGTTAGCTATGGGCTTTTCATTTATGACCTTTGTCATATTGAGTAGTTTCGTTCTCTTCCTAACAGTGCCTGTCTTTTGATAAAATTGTAACTACTTTTGTTTAGAGATTTCCTTCACTGATATTCAATCTACAGACCTGCAAATTAATGTCCAGTTCAGATTGAGAAATCCTTTAAATTAGAAGCTTTTCAGGTCCCAAGGTTGTGAAGACTGGCCGGGGCCATCCCCAGTCCCTAATAAATTATTTAACAAGAATAAAATACCTTCCCATTTTATGTAACATTCCCTTGGCCCCAGAGATGGACAGAGCTGGCGAGCCTACCTTTCCCAACACAAACGGAAGTGCATATAGTGAATGTGGCCTGTTCTTTTCTGAAGTCAAAGAAAGTTCTAGGAATAATCCGTGAAAGCCATGAGAGAAAAGTTCCACTTGATAATGAGGTTGTATAACGTGGGATGAGAAGAGGATTCTGGACCTGACACTATAGAGATGTCCAGGGGGACAGTTCACGGGTAACCCTGGGGTAATCTGGGGATCAAAGGGGTGCTGTGGCCATCTCCTTATACATCATCACCTGAACAAAGATACTCATTGTTCTGCAGGTGTCAGGGCCATCCTTTGGACCATCTTTACAGAGCTTACTGGCGCTCCATAAGTGGCTGAGATCTCTAAGGGAGGAGCATGGCCCCAGGGCCCAGGCCCACACTCAGTCTGTCACTTCCTCTCTTTCTCCACAGAGCCAGTGTAAAAGCCCTCCATCTGAGTCAGCATAGGACATAAGGACCCCAGTCACAGAATATAAGGACCTTGTGGTCCTGACCTGCCTCACAAATGATACCGGGATCTCCATCCAGTGATTCTCCAATGACCAGAGTTTAGAGCTCACAGAGAAGATGAAGCTGTGCCAGGACAACAGCACCCTCACCACACACATCATCAGGAAGGAGGAAGCTGGGGGTTACCAGTGTGAAGCGTCAAACCTTGTAGGGTCCTGCAAAAGTGACCTCCTCAGGCTCAGTGTGAAATATGAGTCTGACCCTGTGGCTCTCTTACCCTTCTCTATGTTATCAACTCGAATAAATTTTTTTTATCTATAAAATATCATTTCTAATGTGCTTTTTAAGTAGAGTTGTTGTGAATAATTGATGATGAAGATGGAAAGTCCTTAGAAGACTTGCATTGAGTCCATAAATGTTCAGAAATTTGCACTGACGTTGTCATTATTGTTGGCTTAAGGTCACATTCCACTCCAGATCCCAGCTCTTGTTGGTCTCAGTTGTACCATCTCCACAGTGAAAGGGCAGGCAGTGGCTGTGCAACAAGTGCTGGGAGCCCATGATAAGCCCTCAGGAATCACGGCTCTATCCCTCCTCCAGGGGGAGGTGTGGATGGCACCTGGACTGTGACAGGGACAACAGGAATCAATAGGAGGTAAACATTGCAGGTACAACATTGATCTTTTACTCTCTTTCTGATTCCTCTGAAGAATTCCTAACATCTTCTCAGGTATTCTTATTTTCATGACAATACATTTATTTATGTAGATTTAGTAAGACTCTGCCATCCTTGTTATTAGAATATCATTGGAAACCTTGATGGTACAACCACTTCTTTTACTAGCTGAGAGTGATGCCCATGGGATGAGATATGACCCCACATTTTAAGGAGCTTAGGATGACTCGATGGGTATTTTGGAGATCTGGAGAAAAGAGGACATCGCTCAAAGCCATAGAGACTGCAGGTGAGTACTGATGTCCAGGCTTCTTAATGTCAAAAGGCTGTTAAAATCCCCATATGAGGTTCCTTAGGAAAACCGGATTAGAAGAAACTGTGGTGAGTCTGCAATCCCACTGCACCTATGTAAATAATCAGGCCAAATTGAGTGAGAGCAGCCATGTTTTAGGATCAAGAACACTCTTTCTTGGAGATCATCTTTGATGAAAAGGGAAGCAACTGTTAGAGAAATGTTTTATTTCCATGGAAAACCTCAGCAAACACAGCCTTCTGATGATCAGATTCTGGCCCCATTCACTGTCTGCTGTTTTGCACCTCTTTATAAGTTGCAGGGAACTGATGGAGATGCAGACTGGGTCTTGCCTGATAGAGATGTAGTTGCTTTTCCCTCCTACTGTGCAGAAAGCAGTTTTGTTATGAACTAGAGGCCTAATGTTCCCCTCAGACTCACTAAACTTCAGACAGTTCTTCCTGACAGTAGGCCCCCGGCCTCCATTTTCTTAGAACATTTCCTTTAGAAATGTAACTGCAATCCATAATTTCAGATTCTTCCTCTGCCCTTTTGAAATATATATATGTCTCCTTAAAATTTTCTTGCCAATTTTAGATTTCAAGGAATGTCTTTCTCAAGAGCCTGGGCCCATCCTTTTGAAATATAACACTCCTGGAAGATCTTCCTCCTACCTCCCAATCTGTGGGCAAGGGCAGGAGCCTAACGTCAGTGGGTCCTTTTACAATCAGGATGTAAAATTACAGGAATTATGAGAACTTTTACTCTTCTTTTCAGTAAGGCTGATTAGCAAACACAAATGGCCTCAACTTTCCTCTACCTGTTCTTAACACCTCTGCAGCCTTTCATTTCAGGGATTGAGTTCAACCTCTCTTCCTCTGTTGCATTAGTCTTGAATAAAGTCTTTCTGCCTCTTTAACTTTATCTGGCACAAATTTTACTTTGACATTACTTACCTGTAATTAGCTGATCCTGTCATCCTGCACACAGTGTCAATCCTTATCATGTTTTCAAATCCTCAAATTTCTTTCCTTATCTGGCTACAATCCTCCAAATGAACATTTCCAAACTTTATGACCTCCCTCCTTTATGACTTGGCATCCACAGCAGATGACCCTACTGCCCAAAACCTTCTGTGGTCCCAGTTTGGCTTCTACCTGGCCTTTGTCCCCAAGATCTGGGAAGTATTGTGAGGTAACATCCAATGGCTTGATAGAGACAAGGAAGGAGGCTCACCACACTGGTTGTAACTCCAACAGTGTCCTCATTCCACACACCTTTTCATCTTGTCTTCAAGGGAAAAGATCATGAAGATTTCTAAAGATATTCTGTCTTTTAAAATGCAACACCTCCAGTAGACAAGCAGGTCCTGCCAGATCAGTGACACCCACATCCACACAGGACCATCCTGTCTGGGGTCCTCTCCAGCCTCGGGCTCAGGCCAGACATCTACGTCCTCATTTCCTTGCTTTCTTTGTTATTTTTACAAACTCCACGTGCCTATTATAAGGAGAGTCCACAGACAAAACCTGGGAAATGCTAAATAGAATCTACATTCTGGTTCTGTTTCTTTTCCTGCTCATTTTTGTGTCTGGGCTATTTGGCTGTATCCTTGGAGACCAATGGTGGTGTGGACTGTGGGTAAGCAGAGATGGACATAGAGGGGTTGCATGGAGGCATGGGGTGTACACAGAATCTGTATGAGAAGCAGTAACACCTGCATGGGGTTTTGGGGTATTAGGCATGATCTGGGATCTAGTGGGACCACGCAAGAGGGATATTTTGGGCACCCTAGGATAGGGTGAGTTTTCAGAATGAGAGGCTGTTCTACCTTTTTGGGGGAAGCAACTGGAGCTGGTGCAGTGAAGTTGAGGGTGCCATCCTTCCCAACTTGGATGAGTGTGAGGGGTGAGACATAGGGTTGGGGAAAAGGATAAGATTTCTCGAAGACTCAGATTCATGCCCTCATACTGGGGACAAGAGGGACTGTCAGATGTACAGGCTGAAGGAGACATGAGACAGAGGAGAATGGAGAGAGGGAGCTGAGCATCCAGTGGGGGCTAAGAATTTGGAATGCGATGAAAGATTAGAGGACATAGGACACCATGAGCACAGAAGACTTGTGCTAAGGGCATCTGGGGAATCAAATCAAGAAGGGAGTTTGACCATGAGGTAGTCAGACTAGAAAAGGGATCTGGAATGGAGCCTGGGGGAAGGTGATAAAAAGCAGGGCCAGGGTGGCAGTGAGGACGAAATTGAGAGCCAGAGTTTTCTCGTCTCCTGTTATGACTTGTTGAGACATGTTCAGGTTGCTCTCAAAGCCTGGGAGCACTGTAGAAAAGCCATATCTCATCCTTGTACACTGAGACCTGCTTCAGCTGAGTCAACAAGTGAGCCATGTCCTCAGGGGATTTGTGTGTGTGTAAGGATAAATGGGAGCCTGGGGACAGGTAAGGGAGTGGCAGATATGAGGGTATGGATTGGGGGCAGAATGAAGTTGGAGTGTGTAGAGCCTTTTCCTCTTTGTTGACTAATCAGAGTGAACTTCCTGTGAGCCAATAGGTGAGAGCTGGTGACAGGTGTCAGTGAGGAGTGCCATGATGGTCTGGGTACTTGTCCTCATCTAATCCAGTGTGTACCACTTCCATTTCTGATGCATCTGCTCTCCCCACCTGACCTTATGTTGGTGGTTGTGATAGAACCCAGGTCATGATGAAGCATTCTGCTTTCTGGTCACACTATGTCCCATGTTCACACACTCTGTCTCTCCTGAGACCTAGGAGCATGTCATGAGCTCCTTTTATGTTGCTATAAAAGGCATTGCCTTGCTCCAGAGCCCTAGGAATCTACATGGAATTATCTTAGTAGCTTCTATCAGAGGCTCCACAAAACAGCTTTCATCCATCTAACGTGGGCTGGATGGAGGTACACTTGCAGGAACTTGTCCTTTACTCTGGAGAGTGTACCCAGCATGCCCCAGAATACTGGAGCCCTAAAACTTTCCCATATGTAGCAGATCCCTGAATGGTCACAGATGTGGATGGCCCTACACCCCATGGAACTCTCATACTTTGCTTAAAGCATTGATTACTAGAGCTTATTCCATCATTGATGTCATTGTCTGTGACTATCAATATCAGCAGGCAACCACTTCCACCTTTGGAGCACAAGTGTCACATTAAGGCATTCAGAATACTTGCTATTTCTTGTTCATCATTAGCAGGAAAGCTTATATTTCTCAACATTCAGTATGATGTTAGCTGTAGGTCCGTACATTTTTTATGACGAGTTTGGCATGGAATTGACTTGGAGGATGAAAATATCCGTTTACTCTCCTAGGCAGATCCACCCTCGTGGGCTCACAATCTGTTCAGTCACTTAGAAGGGCCTGTGGTAGGGTTAATGTTGTTTTTGACATCTTGAAATTCTTCATGATTTTTGAACAAGGTGCCCTGATTTTCACAATACATTGACTCCTGCGATTTATGAAGCTCGTTCTGCCTCTGGGAGTGACCATGTGTGGATTGGCTCCCTTTGGGAAAAAAAATCTTGATCCCATTGACTGGTGTACTTTGAAATTTTGCCACCAGACGGAAGTACTACCACAGGGTAACCTGGAAGGTTGAGAAGAGAGACGTGGAGGAATTTGGCTTTTTCTACTCTATTTGTGTCATGAGATGTCTCTAACTGTCCCCTGCCACCTCACACCTCTGTAGCTCGCAGAGGGAAGATTCTCCAGACATGATGTGCTTCAGAGATTCAAGTTTTGGACTCCACTATCCAAGGGGGAACAAAGAAATCACAGCTAACTGGCTCAAATGTGAATAGCATTAAGTAGACAATTAAGTCCACAGTGAATGTTGCCTTTGGAAAACCCTGGAGAGAGGTGGATGGGAAAGGGGTATGCTATGGTGACGAGGAAGAAAGGAGCTGAGTCCTCATCTTCCAGGAGGGATGACCTTAGATAATGCCTGAAATTGAAAAATCAGTAAGTAGCCTCAGAGCATGTTATTCAGAGATGGGTTTGGCTCCATTCAGAGGAGTTGATGTTGTTTGGGGTAGATCTCCTCAGTGTGGCCCAGACAGGAGAAGCCAGGACCTTTCTGTGATCATTTTGAACAGAACACAGAGAGACACAGAGGTCATCACAGCCAAATCCAGTGTTGTCATAAGTACAAGAAAGAGAACATCCAAGAGGAGGGAGCCAGGACTAGTTTTGCTCACAGTGTGAATATCAGGAACAGAATAATAATTTCATCGTTCTGGTTGCAGTGGGCTAACAACAAGTTAAAATCTCCTTGGGGTTGTAGGTCATTCACATCAAAACAATATGGCCCCTCTGGACAAGCTTTACACACCTGATTAAGATTCTTCCAAGAAGCCCAAAAGTCTTAGGTCTTCATCCTTATGACACATGGTGAGGACTGGCACTGGCATGTTCTCTCTATTTTTTTTTTTTTTACATCAGGAGCACAGAATTGAAAAATTAGAATCCTTGGTTCATGACCCACTGTCATCATCAGTCCATAAATTCCATGCCATCATTTATTTTTTAGAGAACTACTACTTATTTAACAATTTTATTTTTACTTATCTATTTGGAATCAGACTCTAGTTACAGCTTCCAGAAGATCTCCAAAGGCAAGATTGGAGGGTTGGTTCACTAAGGAAGCTCTCTCCACTTCCTGGCTAAAAAAACTGAGAAATCAAAACCCTGTGCCGGTGCGACAGAACCTATGCAGTGTCTCTGGTAGAGACAAGCCTGGTACCCACTGGTTCCATTGCCCTGAGCTCTGGGAGACGCTCCACCTGCATCTCACAAGAACCACTTTCCTCTCCTACAATGTGATCTGCTGTCAGAGATTCCAGGAGCTGCTGTCCTCAGCTTATGAGGCGGTCATGTGTTTTTGAAAAAGATTTGAAGGGTTGAATCAAAGGGTTGAAAAAGAATGTGTTAAGTCAATCTGGAGTGTCTATCGTGGCTATCATGGGGCATCTCCAAGATAACATGTCCACAACCAAGATCTTTATTCCCCCACTGCCCAACCTGATCCTCCCAGAGTCTTCCTCTTCTCAGTCAAGGTCAACTCCATCCTTCCTGGGGCTCAGGTAGAAAATCTTGGCATTATCCTTGATGCCTCTATTGCTCTCACACTAATCTCTAACCCACATACAAATTCTACAGTCCATCTACAGAATATAAATCGAATCCAAACACTCAGGTCCAAACCACTACCTCCCTTATATGGGGTTATTGTGATAGTCTCCTACCTAGTCTTCCTGCTGCCTCCTTGTCCCACCTTCTCTTATCTATCTCCTCACAGTAGGATTTCTGAATCCTCAGAGATGAATTCTTTTAAAGCCCAAAGAGATTATCCTTTTTCTGATCTAAGCCCTCCTGTTGCTCACATTTCAAAAATACAAAAATCTAATGTCCTCACCACAGCAGATAAGCCCAGCTTAGTGCTACTCACAGTGCTGATTGGCAACTAGACAGGGAGTTTCCACCGGAAGGTCAACTAACTCAGTGCTTTGGTGGAGAAAGTCTTGCAATGAAGAAAGTGTCAGCTGAAATAAACAGAGAACTTAGTAATGTAGTTGGTCTACTTTCTGGCCCAAGTTCTTGGCTCCTTCTCCTTGCAGATCACCCTTTGAGTAGCACTGTCCTGCACAACCTAGTCCCTGCCTACACTCTCATGTCATCCTCCTCATCTCACCTGTTGTGGTCACAGTGGCTTCCTGACCCTCAAAGACGCCAAGCAAGCTCTTGCCCGAGGGCCTTTTCACTGGCTGCTCCCTCTCCCTAAATAATCTTCCCCCAGAGACATTCATGACCCTCTCTCTCTTATTTTAGGCCCCTCTCAAATGTCACCTTGCTAAGGGGTTTTCCATTATATAAAATAGAAAGACTTCTCAACCCAGCCACTTCCTGTCACATCCACTCACTTTATTTTCCTTTAGAGGACTTACCACCATCTGTACTACTGCTTATTAATTTACCTTGATTGCCTCTCCTTCACTAAAACATCATCTCCCCAAGGCCAGTGACTGCCTCTCATATTTAATTTTGTGTCCCCTACAGCCACTATAAACCAGCACAGAATGTGTTTGTTGTTCAGAAAAAGGATTGACTCATCTGTGATCAACTGCATGCTGTGAATTGAGTGCAGTCACTTCAATTTCACCGTCTGTAAAATGTGATGATTCCAGCCCTGTCATCTTGTAGGAATCATGCAGAATGTGCCTAATTCCTGATATCTGTTACTCTGTAACAAAACATCCCAAACTTAAAATTGCTCCATGTCTGACACAATGAGGGACCTGTAAACTTTATAAACTCCAGTCATGATAAGAGATGATAAATCTGTGCACAGGAGAGACAGAGGAACCAAATCTGGGTAATGTTCTCTGCAAGAGGAACACCAGGGTCCCTGTGGAGGGTCCACCCTCCTGGCTTTCTATGCCTTTCCTCAAGTCATCTCTGTGGCAACCCTGAGAGAGGCACACAGTTCTCACGGTGCTTTTACAGAGAGGAAATAGAGACTTGCAGTAGTGTTGTCATGTCACTGTGACCTTGTGAAACAGTGAGACTAGTCTCTCCCTTATCTGCACAAACACACACACATTAAAATATGTTAGACCCATGGATTAGCGTCTGGCCTCTTTTCACTGAATATTGTGTCTCTGAGATACACCCAAGTTGACGTGGGTGGTCTTATATCTCACATTGTCATTACTACAAGGTTTTTACACTTTCTCATGAAACTGATTAAAGGCAGAATTTGTTAAAGGTAGGATCATTGAGTGTCTATGGGACATGATCTGGATTTTTTGAAAGAAAAATGTCATCATACTTTTAAAAGCATGCTATACTTTTCAAAGGTCAATATCTTTACTGTTAATAAGGAGATATGTTCATTTCAATTTCGATAAGGGCAATCTCATTACTCTTAAAAAAACTGAGTGGTTTGGCGCCATCTGGTGGCGCAGCGGTTAAATTCACACGTTCTGCTTTGGCGGCCCAGGGTTCACCGGTTCTGATCCTGGTTGCAGACATGGCATCACTTGTCAAGCCATGCTGTAGCAGGCATCCCACATATAATGTAGAGGAAGACGGGCACGGATGTTAGCTCAGGGCCAGTCTTCCTCAGCAAAAAGAAGAGGATTGGCAGCTAATCTTCCTCAAAAAAATAAAATAAAATAAAAAACTGAGTGTTGTATTTTTAAGGAGCTAGGATTATTCTATCTTTTGAAAGGGCCATATAATCTAATTTCAATAGATACCTTCATTAATTAGAAGGAGCAATATAGTGTCATTGACCTAAAATTTATGAATATATTTTTGTAAAAATATTATTTGTATTAAAGATAGGGCAGTTATATGTTTAAAGACAAGATGATTATGAAACAAAACCATGAACATTACCTTATAAGCTAGTTTATTTAGAAAGTATGAGAAAGTTCATACCAGATAAGCATAAATTAGCAAAATATAACAGCTAACACCTAAGTAACCACCCAAGTCAGGAACTAGTTCATTGTCAGCTTCAGAAGTGCCTCTGGGTCCAGTCCTGGCCACAAGCTCCTACCTTGAACCTAGAAGTGACGATTCCTGAATTCATGGTCATTCCCATTATTTCCCTCACAGTTTTCCCAACTACACAAGAATCTAGAGATTGGCATTAGGGTTTGTCTTCTCAAACTTCCATTAACCAGTATCACACTCCAACTGCCAGGTTCTCTTGAATCTTTTATTCTCTATTAGGTTGTAAGTTTCAAGCCTATTGCAGTAAAGAGGCCTCGTTCCCCTTTTTTCTCTTAACTTTATTTTTATTGTGGTAAAATAACATAAATAAAGTATGCCATTTTGACCATTTTGCAGTGTACAATTCATTGGCATTAAGTACATTCACAATGTTGTGGAACCAGAAATACTACTTCCAGATGTGCTTTTGTCTTTTAAACATTTCAAGTTGTTTCATTTGTGTAGCTACTGTGCTCATTTTGTAAGTAGTAATTAAACCACAATCATTGCTTTTGGTTTGCGACTCATCATCTTGAAAAAAAAGTGATACAGCTTTTAACGTTGTTTTTTTCTTTTTTTTTTTTTTGGAGGAAGATTAGCCCTGAGCTAACTGCTGCCAGTCCTCCTCTTTTTGCTGAGGAAGACTGGCCCTGAGCTAACATCCTTGCCCATCTTCCTCCACTTTATATGTGGGACACCTACCACAGCATGGTGTGCCAAG